GTTTGGCATGGCCTTACAAAATGTAAAGTAATGCTGCGAGTATTCAGGGTATCAAACCTGATACTCATGCTTACGGATGAACCCGCTGAGCTGGTGGACAAGTTTGTCTACCTTGTCATTACCTGTGCTCTCATCCGGATTAAGAAGTCAACAGTGACTTTTGGGTGAACTGCATCACCTGTGGCATAGGCACGACATCATTTTAGCCGTCAACCACCGAGTTTACGACGCTATGACGTGCGCCGTATTACACGGGTCAGGAATCTATCCGTTCCGCACTGTGGACGTCAAATGACTTTCAGCATCCAATGTCTTTGAGCGTGGTCCATTAATGTTGAAGACCCTCAATTTCTTCGAGTGAAATAACTCACCCACGACAGATGAACCGTTCGCACTCTGTGAGGTGCCCCTCTATGGTCACGAGCTTCTTATTCCAGTCGACCGACCTCTGCAAAGGTCTGGTTTCCCACAACCATACAGAGGATGGAAACAAGCCAGGGTGTGTCAGCTTACGACTTTGAAACGAAGTGTGAAAATCCCTAACAGCAAACGCGAATGCGCTTGTCAATTCACTGCAGAAAATCCTTGAAACAAGGAACTTTAATGGTTAAAAACGTCGTCCGAAATGACTCAGCTGCCCCTCTGATTGCGCTTGTGTACCCAAGTCTTGTCTTTGCTGCACACTTCCAACACCATCCTAGTTGCCCCAACAACAAGTCCACTGGACTTCGGTAGTTTCGCACCATATATATCAGCTACAGCTTTCAGTGCGCAGCTATTTACTTCACTTTGCCCTCCCCCAAACATCGACGATTAGACGGTGGCAGTGGGAAACATGGTACGGAAACAAACCAGTTTTAAAATTTTTGATTATGATGAGAATAATAATGTGGCTGGCTGGAATTGTTTGTCTACTTTTTGAAGGCAATTTTGCAAGGATAATTGGAAGAAAATTTTTATCAACTCGTATTTTACCCAAGAAATCTGCAACCCGCCTCCCCACCAACGCAGATGGTCAAGACAATCGAGACTAGAGCAAGGTGGCTCGGTGGTTAGGGTGTAACATTACTGGCTGGAAGGTCCATGATTCGATCCCGACCTCTGCCTTTCGACTTTTCCTGTGTAGGCTTGGGGAACCAGGCCGTATCCAAGTCATCGAGTTTCCATCCATTGCCGTGACATTGAGGCACCAATCAATATAATTGTTATATATTCATTTATACTTAATTTTCACTTTTGTGTGCGCACTTGTAAAAGTAACCAGTTTCAGTAAACGCCGCATGCCACTTTTGATAAATAACAATAAAAACAAACCGTTCGTTGGGTGACATGTGAATTGTTCCCATCAAAATCAGCCAAGTTATGAGACTCCAAAAACGCCGGCTGACTGAAAGGACCTGCGCTGTTTGTGCACAACGTTTCGGTTCTCATTTGCTCAAAGCAAGCTGCATCAAGAAATATACCCATATTGTGAGAATGATGATGCTCTGGAAGATATGTATGGTGCCAACCAGAATAGAATAAACTCAGTGCGCAATGCCTACACAAATTTGGCATATAGAAAATAATTCATTCTACATCGCACTTGGGCCACCTCTTTTCACTTTGGTTACAGATCAAGAGTAGTCGCTATTGCAAGGTCTCTGTTTCATCCGGAAGTGTAATCGTAGCTTGAGCAGAATTGATCTCCTGCCAGAAGAAGATAAGTTCGAGCAACAACGTATTTGATGTTGAAATCAAGGCGGTTGCAAACTATATCTTTCCAAACAGGCTCGATTTTTCGAAAAGTGCAATCATTAGCAAACCAGTTTGGTTCTCACGAGGACCCAACTGAATCTCTCGTTTATGATATTCTACAACTGAATGTGCTGCACACAAGCTGTGCTGTCACAGTTGACGCGGTGTTCGAGGTATCAGTCTATTTTCATTAAGCAAACTACTCACAAGTTTCTGAATATCGTAAACGAATGATTCAGTTGAGTCTCCCGTGAAAACCAAATCGATTTGCAGATGAGTGTATTTCTTGAAAGCAGTCCAATGTGGATTCAATTGGAACATAAGGCTGACTGAAACTCGCGTAGTGAACCTACCTGATGAGCCTCAAGAATGGCAAAACCGGTTGTGGGCTGTCGAAGTATTCTCAGCAAACTTCTGAGTAGTTTCCTTTATGATAAGATCCGATTTTCCTTAAAATATTTTTGTTATTCCCACCGGATATGCTTCGATTTGACGAATGCAGAGATGCCATGACGTAGGTCGCGAGTGCTTCAAAATACGTCGTAGCTTGAGAAGAACTGGCGTCTTGTGCAACAATGGAATAAGCTTGTCTTTTCGTCGGCCACTTGATGACGGAGGCGTGTGAGCAACACTGTCCACCTACTAACGGTACTGAATGAGCTGAGAAAATGCAAGATAATACAAATAGTTCCATCGCCTCCAAGAATCAAACCATGAAGTCAGCTTTCATCATCATCAGATTCAATCTGTCTAAACCCTAAGATTATTCGCAGGAAATGAGGTTTTCTGATCTTTCCGATCTCCGAATACCATGAGGAGATGATTTAACCTCGCCTTTCGAATACGAACCTGCAGTAGAATGCCTTGCCGCAACAGTCGTCCAAATTTGATGCAAAACATTCTCCATCGTTCTTTTTTTAGAAATATGTGAATAAACTGAGGGAATTTGAGGATGATTTGGTAACTCAGAAGGTAAAATCTAGTTGAGAAAAATGCAACCACGACAACGAGCAGTTCTGGACCAGAGGGCGCCTGCTGGATTACAAACAAATTGACATATGCATGCATATTTTAGTTGATTTAGGGCTAACATTCCTGTTGTTGGTTTCTTTCAGGAAAGGTTAATTTCCAGAAAATGAGGGCTTTAACGGTTGCTTGGATGACCTCCGTAGAAGGGGATAAGCTAGGTTTTGTAATAAAACATTTACAAAAGCAAGGTGATATCGGCAGACTGTTCGTATGCTTGGTTTCTGAAAAAGAGTGACGACTGGATAGACAAAATAAACCCAAGTCAGAAAAATTCTATCATTGTTAACAAGGCTTTCACCCAGCCAGATGAATCAAAGTTGATGAAACTAATCTGTGTTCGAGCTGCAGACACATCTCAACTTATGCACGCCATTTATTGGCCGCTAACTTGACCACAGCTGTGGTATCAACCAGTGTGGTTTTGTTCAAATATGATCACTTCTCAGTGAATCAAGCCTATGTTGAATTGGCAACTAAACACAGCTGTGGGATCAACCAGTGTGGTTTTGTTCAAATATGATCACTTCTCAGTGAATCAAGCCTATGTTGAACAGCAGAGCAGTGCTGTGATTCTGCTTCACTCTCATTGGGGATCCTCAGTAATGTGTATCCTACGAAATTCCAGCAGGCATTGTGAAACTTATGGCCTCCCAGCTAGTAGTTTCAGCCCATAACTCTTGAGCTAGTGTGATGAACTCACACTTCAGCATCCTATGCACCTGTTATTCTGTTCGAACTTTGATAGATATAACCGTCGTTCACGTGGCACCAAACCAAGTGTTGTGCCAAATTCTCCACTATGCAGTCGACGAAATCGACAACCTTTTGGTCCCCAAATAAAGTGAGTTTGAAAAAGTGACATTTATAACACTTTGCGTGCCGGAGTTTGCAAACCTCGCAACCAATTCTGGTAATGCATCGCGCCGACTTTTGCAGCAAATGGTGCCTCATTTTTCTCAAGTGGAATTCACAGTGATGCTACTTCCCATGTGCCTCAGGTTTTATGAGTCCGTTCACAACTTTCCTAGATTGAATCGCAATTCAAGTGCACGGAACAAACATCTCGTATCTTGTTTACAAAACAAAATATCCATATTCGCTTTGAACGCGTCTTCCTGAACGTTCCTGAATACTCAATGGCTGTTACCAATTTCCAGGAAACTGCTACAGAGCGAGCTCACAAATTCACAAATCGGGTCTCATTTCTCAACAGACACAGAAGATTTAACTGCAAACACATTATTCACATGCCTCATCAATAGTGTCCACCGTTACACACCTTTCTTCCTTGAAAATCGTTCACACGCTCTTGATTTACTTTCATCAGGTCGGCTTCAGCAGCGGGTTTACTTGGCCCCTCTCAGCTTGTATCATGCTCATTTACTCTTTTTGGTCCTCGATCGCCTTGAATTGTATGGACGTTCTCTCGGTGGTGGGTGACGAGAACAGAAGTTTGCCGTTGACTCCTCAGCTTTCGCGACTCCAGTCCACTCCTCACAGGATTCTGATGATCCCCCCATTTGGCCTTCTCGCCCATGTGAAATGGTCGTGACTTCCTACTTGCCGTTTTCTGCCTAGACCTTTCCTGAACGGCGGTCAAGTTTTCTCGTCCTCTCCTTGCTTTTTTCCATAGCTCGTCAGGAGACAAACCCGTTGCCGGCCACAACCCAATTTCTTGATCAACCGGAAGGCGCGGATGTCGACCGTACATCAGCATAAACGGGCACCTGCGCGAGGTTGATTTTGTGGTAGCAGGATGAGCTAGCAAAACAGTTGGCAAGTTCACGTCCCAGTCACCTCCTTTGGCTGCAAGCCACTCCTTGATCGTTCGGTTATTACATTCAGTAGGGCCATTTGTTTGCGCGTGGTATGGTACCGTCCTAAGCCGTCTGATATCCAGCAATTCCCAAACTGTTAGCTCTCGAAGCAAGGCCCCTGATTGGTTACGATCTTTTTTGGCACCCCATGGTTGGCCAAAGTGTGATGCATTACCACTCCGCTGATGTTAGTCGTCCGCTGATAAGGCACGGCTGCCGCATCGATCCACCGCGACAGGTGTTCTGTCAGTATCACGTTATATTCATTCCCACATGTTGTCACCGGAGGGGCCCCAGTGAAGTCAACTGACCAAAATTTGCCAATTTCTGATGGAGGAATGGGTTCCATGGGATGAGTTGTTCCTGTCGTATCCCCTTTCATTTTCTGGCACCGCTTACAGTTCGACACATAATCCATTACCCACTTCTCATCCCGGACGATTGGGCCCTATGCCGAAGTAAGTTATACGTCTGTGTGCATCCTCTATGTGCCATCTCATGGCATGCAACGATAAGCTTCCGTCCGAAGACGTGAGGTATCACGGGCAGCGCAACATCTGGATCAATGGTGTTCCAGGAAATTATGCCAGCATCATTCAGTCACAGCCGATCACGGTGACTCTGGAACTGGTGGCGCCACACTCTATCTAGTCGTCAAAGCGCTGGCGAAGAACACAGTCGGGCTAGGTCCGGGTACCGTCTTGGCCGCCTTGAACCGGCTCGTCACCTACTGGCGGTCGGCTGGCGTGTCAAACTCCGCTGCAAGGACTTCCT